ATTAGCATCAGCCTTGTTCAATCCACTGCTCGATGAAGGCCCCGCCTTCTCCCCACACTTGTCGCCATCCCTCACCGTCCCATGATGCCGCAATCTCGTTTCTGTGCCCGAGCTGATCCCATCTCACGATCTATCCGCGGTGGTATTCCTACGCCTGCGTGGTCCCACCTTTGTCTGTCATTCTGTCGCCAGTCTTGACCACCGATCGTCATCATCGTCATCGTCGTCCCCTTTAGCTGTGACGTGTCCTGCCCAAGCCCACTTCTGTGCTCTCGCAGTCCAGACGACGCCTGTCTCTGATATGCTTCTCGCTCTGTTCCGCGTGTTGCCCTCAGCGTAAATTCCCAGCACGCACCCTCTCCCATGCGCATTGCATACTTTCCCAGCTCGTGCTCCATTTCTCTTGCCTACGCGTGTGGGTAAACCGGAGTACCAAGGAAAAAAGCCTACGCGTAGGAGGGATCAAACACTCTACCCCACACAGGTAGAACAGATGATATTAGTCCGCACTTTGCCGGAGCACTTTCTCCTGGCGAGCCAAGCAGAGTATGGCACCGACCTCCTCGACACTCAGGGGAATGGAGGTTCGCAAACATCTCTGTGTGATCCACCAACACTCGCTGGATTACTGGCAGCAGCGACGTGCAACACAGCCGTCGCCAGCCTAATACGTAGCAGGAGGCTTTCGCGACCAAATAGTATCCACAGTCGAGGTTGTTGGGTTAGATCGCGTAACACCTTACTAATTGGCTGTGTCGGGCTTAACGACACATTTATATTTACGCGATCTATCTAACAAAAAAAAACCCTATTATGGATGGCCATCACCGCGACCCGGCACACACATCACATACGCGCCGACAGGTCTCACACGTGGAGGTCTGTGATAGCCACGCTCACCATGGCATGCCCCGACGTTGGAAACGTTCCCATTTCGACCACACGCGCCACCTGTGCCCGGAGTGCGGTCAATCTCGGCGCAGATCTCAGAAGCTAAGCAGGGATGGGGCCTGGACAGTGCTTGGATGGGCCACCAGCAGGCGTTGTGGGCAATAATCCCACAACGCACCCCCCCCCCCAACACATTCACCAACCCGCACGTAGCAGCAGTGGGTTGACACGAGGGCTGCGCTTGTACACGTGGGTCCCTCTAGCGTGGGGAGGATGTCATCCAGTATTGTGTGGATAATCATCATCATCATCATCATCCATGGTCAATCCACTGCTGGATGAAAGCCTCTCCAACCGACCGCCATCACTCGAACTCCCCGTGATGCAACAATGCACCTGCACACACGAGAGCTGTTCCCATCGTCCCGTCTCCGCCGCAGACGTCCCCTCACATACATTCCATTCCTTGGCTGCAAGACCGTCATTATTTTTCACCATCAGCCCCTCATGGGCTCTCGATGTAATCCCAAGCCGACACCTCGCTAATGGGTATAAGAGGCACCAATTCATTTTCATTAATATTGAAGGCATGCTTCCGAGCACTAGAGTCATGTTGGGCAGCAGTACAGGAGCACTGCGTCTGCATATAGTTCCTTTCTCGTGGTGTTAATGACCGTGGTTATGAATTGTGGCATAGCAGGAAGGAGGCAGTGATGCACACGTGTGTGTAAATCATTGTTTGTGTATCACGTCTCACAACTGAGTGGCGCGGCGTGGTAAACACGCTCCTGAGACTGCCACGAAGTTAAAGATCCCCCGTACAGCCTAAACAGCCTGTTGGGGCAAAGTGTTGTCCGCGAGCACCTATTATGAAGGCCGGCACGACGCAAGAGGAGCTAGCTGTTGCTGATGTTTACGCACTGTTCCAGGTACTCATTTAAGGCTGAGCCGACCTGGGCGAGGGCCAGGACTGGTTCAAACACTGACTGGCATTGGCCTCAGATCGCCGAGATTGTAGAGCAGTGCGCTGACCACGACACAACCGCTCCCCGATCCACACGCACGGCGGGGTGCAGGTTGTTCGAGGTCGGGGTAAACAACGAATGCACACACAGCCGCCGCTTCCTTACAGTGGAGCAAAGCGGTGGGGGTGGGTTGATTAATTAATGAAACCCCGGGGATGTGAACCCGTCCGTCCTCACCCACACCTCGCGACCCCTTTGACCCCGCGCGAGGCGCCTGGCGCGATTCTTCCGCCCGGGGAGCGCTCGGTGAGGGCAGAGGCGGAGGGAGGCGCTTGCTTTGGTAGTGGTGCTGCTGCTGCTGCTGATGCGTTGGCCGTGGTGGTGCACAATCACGAACAACAACAACACTCAACGTATTCGTTAATAATACTGTGTGGCTTTTCATGGAATATATCGATATATCATTGGCAAAATTTTTTTAAGGCAGTGTTATTGCTGAAGAGTATCAGTTTTTTGTTTGTGAAATGTGTGGTGCAGGCCACTACTCGCGATGGTGTTAATTAAAACAACAAAACGCAACACGGTCGTCAGTAGTACTGTGGCCATCAAAATGACAAGAATATAGCAGGTGACGTTTCGGGCAATGGCCCTTTTTCAGTCTTCTTCGTACACCTCAAGTTGATTTAGAGCAGCGGCTGGAATTGTACACTGAGGTGGTTGAGCCAGATGATTACGTCAGGAGCAATGGAGTGGTGAATCATCGCCGTGGTGACGTCTCGTTATAGGTTCAACGATTATTTTCTGGGTAGTGACCAAAATCTCCGCATGCTGACCGGAGGTTAATGTTCTATTCATGCATCATCATGTTTGTTGTCCTTCCCCTGCACCTCCGATTGGCACGGTTGGCTACGTACGGTGCGAAAGAAGTCCAACATAAATAATCATAATCAAGTATCCGCATCTGTCACTACTTCTTCGCAGTACAGAAAGGCCTCCCTGTACTCTGGAGGGCCATTGCTCGAAACGTCAGCGACTACATCCTTGCCATTTTGAAGGCCACACTGCTGATGACGAGCGAGCCGCTTGTGGCGTTGTCAGCGGCTGGCCGAGTGACGGGGGGGCGGTGATCGAGCGAGCGAGTGGTGGCGGTGGCGTTGCTGCCAACTCGTCGCCACGCGCTTGCCCGCCGCCGCAACTCGGCACACTCGCAGTGCGGCGCCGTCAGAGCCGCTCGCCTGCGGCCTCCTCACGAGACAACTCGCCCGTCGGCCGCCTTGGGCCCAGGGTTCCTACAAGACAATACCGATGGCTAATCGGCAAAACGTACGTATGTTGAACTTTTTTCCGCACCATACGTAGCCAACCGTGCTAATCGGAGGTTCTGGGGGGGGGGGGGTGACAACAAGTGATATGCAAATTATTTTGTCAAGGCGCTCTTCCCACTCCAACCCAGCTTAAATATACGCTCCAAGCCTGGGGTGTTTCATTCAGACGCTGTCTTCCGGACAGACCTGTTCTTCACATGAGGACGGCTGCTTGCGTTGTGGCCAAAACGTCGTGAGAATAATTTTATAATGTTTTATTTTTATTATTTTATTATTTCCCTTCTACGTGACTTTACCGAAAGAACCAAGAAGATGAATCCCCACACCAAGTTGACCGGAGGTAACCTCGAGGTATGAAGAAAGGGGATTGGTGGCTGGAGATGAGGAGTCGTGGTCCAAGGTGTGAAACGTGGCCCAGTGAGAAGACAGGTAACGGGGCCAGGGGAGGGGGGATGGGGCCCGTGGGGATAAGTGGAGAGCTGTGGATGAAGGAGGGAGGCTGTGTGGTGATGGTAGAATGCATGGACTGGAACCCTCACCTGTATCCACGTCTTGGCGAGGAGGAGAGTGCACGCTACAGCCCCGACACCAAAGGCGGGGCAGTGCTATGATTACATTACATGTGTGTGTGTTGTTGCTGTGCGTGTTTCCAGATGGAACGACATAGCAGCGAAATCCCCGCGTTGGATATCGCGGTCGTGCCCCACGTCTCTCCGACATGTGTTCGCGTCGTACCGACTCAGCGAGGCTTTCCTAGGTAAACAAAAGCGATCAATCAAAAAGGGAAATAAATAAACAAACATAAGTGCATGCTGCACTGCGTGGAATATTTACGGCGCATACGCGGAATTTTATAGCCGGGCGTTTGGCGACTCGCTGCCGCGAGCGGCCCGGCGGAGTGAGCGGGAACACGCGACGAGTGGCAGATGAGCCACACCCGGGGAGCGGCAGCAGCAGCAGCAGGAGCAGCAGCAGCAGCCGTGACACTGGGGAGGTTGGGGAGCCCGACGAGCAACTACAGATGGGGTCCGTGGGGGTCCGTGGGGTTCCGTGGGACCAGAGGAGCTGTTTCTGCTTTACTCTACTACCCACGTGGCTCAGCGGTAGAGCGAGCCGTTCGCAATCTGAAGATTTCGAGTTCACGTCCCAATTCAGGGGTTGACTCAGCCCATCATCTCTCGGGAGTCGATAAAACAAGCATCACTTTGTGGTAACTTCAACGGTGGTTGTTCTACGGGAGAGACTCTCCCCCGCCATAGGAATGTGGAATGTCCACCACTGTCTCAGGACGACAAAGCAGGAGATGAACACCGACGGACTCATTGCTGATGCGAGGACAGCGATTCTCTCGGCTGTACGAGCTCTCGAGCGTTCCGTGGCCAGCACCGACTCGGCGTCGACGTCGCCTTGCTGAAGAGGGAAAGCACCGACTCAGAATGGCCGTGAATGTTTCTTTTTTGTCTGAAGCGTTGCGGGTGCCTCTTAGCCATCGATAAACACTGCGGGGGCGTCGGAACCCGCAGGACACTCGCAGCGGCTGCGCCCCCTGCTTTTCACATGTGCGTCGAGGCGCGCACACGCAACGCACACATTCACGCACGTGCTCACGCGCACGCACACACACGCATGTACACATGTGCGCGCGCACACATGCACACACACGCGCATGCACACACGCACATGCACACACACACGCATACACGCGCACGCACACACATGCACACACACGCGCATGCACGCGCACACACAAGAGCCGGCGTCCGCCGATGCTGTGCCGTGCGCGGTGGTAAAATATAATCACGTGCTGACCAGCTGAAAGGCTTCCCTCTCTTTAATTAAATCGAGCGTTTAAAAGCCATCGCAGGAAATCAAAACCTCGTCGCTGTACGGAGACGGGGCCGATACAAACACGGTAGAGCCTAACACTGAACACGCTCCAAATATATCCAGACAAATAAGCATCGACAATAAACAACAACGCGTGGCAGTAAGGGGGCGGGAGGGGGGTGAACGTCGAAATACAAATCCCAGCCACTCCCATCCGCCTCGCCATTGTGGCCATACTTCACCACACGGGCCAGTGCGGGTTGGGAACGGGTGAGGGAGGAGCTTCAGCGCGTGTGATGGCGCACGCCACGGATGTGAGCCGCGGCAGGGAATCAAATTCGGGTTGCCGGGTTTCTAGTGCGGCAAGCTAACCACTTCCCTCTTTTATGAATCCTTTAATGCGGATAAAGCCCAACATTTGCATACAGAGTGTGAACGCACAGCTTTGAATTCAGATGGGGGGGAGTGAATTGTGAACAAGAATGCACGAGGCGGGGAGGGCGGCAAGGACTTCCACGGCGGAGAAACGCGGGGCGGGGAGACGCGGGGCCCCGATGGCTCCGTGCGCGCCAGCCCCTGGGTGTCCCCCGCTTCTCGCAGTCGGCTCCTGCACCCCACCCACCACTCTCCCCTGTAACTTGGACACCGCCCTGCGAGAAGGCTGCAGAGATTCTTCTTCTTCTGCTCCTCGTGAGTTTTGTTGGCAACGGAGATGGATGAAATCGGGGGCCGAATATAAAAGGAAGCTAAGATTACAAAAGTTTTCAAAAATGTTACGAGATAAAAATAAACATCACATTCGCACAGCGGCTGGCGCTGCCGCAGGGCGATGCGAGATTTCGCTGGGCGCCTCCCACACCGCGCAGCACGGAGAGTCCTTGCCGAGGCGATTGCTGGCACTCGGGGTGGGGGGGGGACGGTGAAAGGAAAAACACGAGGCCCCCCTGTCCCTGCCTTCCCCCCGTCTTCGTCTCCAGCCGGCCCGTGGGCGCTGGTGCAGTTGCACCGCCGGTACACTCCGTGGCTACGCTACCCGACTCCTCGTGCGGGGCCCCACGGTCCACGCAGACGCACGGGCAGTCGCGCCATCCACGCCCCGCGCAGGCCGCGCGGCGCTCACAGCCCCGTCTTCTTGGCGAGGCCGAGCTTGTACAGCGCCTGGTAGCCGTCGGCCCAGGCGTAGAGCTGCCGCTCGCGCCGGTTGTAGTGCAGCGAGGACAGCGGCGGAGCGCCGGCGGTCGGCGCCGGGAAGGGCACGAGGTGCGCCCGGTCGCTCCCTCCACCGCCACCCCCTCCCGTGGTGGCCGCCTCCGGGTCGAAGGCGCAGGCGACCCAGGGCGCGCCGCGGTCTCGCGTCGCCGCGTACACCACGTGCAGGCTCCCGCACACCACGAAGGCGGCCTGGGCGCCGCGGCTGGGGCACGGGGTGCGCCAGCTGGCCTCCACGCGCAGCCCGCCCGCCGGGGAGCTGGCGTCCAGCTTGGACAGCACGAGGTCTCCGCCGCTTTCCGGCTCGTCGCCGCCGCCGTCGTCTCCTGCGGTGGGGGTCGCGGGAGAAGGAGATGGAGGCGACCCTCGTGTAAGGGCTGAAGCCGACCGATAACCACTTTCTGGGAGCCTCAGCAGGGATGCGTGCTCAGAGTCTGGCTCGTTATCAAAGCCAGTGGCATCTACAGGAGATTATACAACGTTTAAAGCCATTCCCTGTGTTTAATGTACACGCCGTACAACATGTTTGGAATCGACAGGAGTAAAGTTGGACTTACGAACAAATCGACTTACGAACAGACCTCTGGAACCTAACTCGTTCGTAAGTAGAGGAGTCCTCTACACTCCCTCCGCCAGCCGCGCCGACTCCTATAGCCACTCAGCCACTAGCCCCATGCATGAAGGGCCCCCTCGAGCACCCGTGGGGCCTCACTTCCCAGGCAAGGGTCCCCATGACGGCAGCGAGGAATCTCTGCGCTACGCAGTGCGAGACGTGCAGGGTTCAAACCCACGCACCTGCAAGGTCACCCAGTGGCACCCCCAGCCGCTGTGCGAGCGTGTCGTGAATCTAATGTTTTTTTACTTCTTTAAGTCTGATTTTTCTTTTTCGCTTCCCCCGATTTCACGTGTTTTCGGGTCGTTTGGCACGATGTCCGACGTTTCGCTCCACGTCCTGGGAGCTTCCTCAGGAACTGTTTGTTTTAGGTTGACCTGCGTGTCTGTTCAGCTTCTCTTCGATTGCCAGTTCCTGAAGAAGCTCTCGGAGCGTGTAAGGAAACGTCGGACAGCGTGCACGCGGCGCGACCCGGAGGCGCGTGGGAGAGCCACTGGAGACGGTTTGTAGCGAGGCTCGAGATGCCACCCCGTTGCGTGCTGAAGAGACCCACAATGCCACGCTGGTGGGTTCGCCTTTGATTGGCTACTTATTGCAATGTCTTGGATGTTTGATGTGTTTTCGATAAAACTAAGGAGCCCCTAAACGAATACTGTATACTGTATATTTTGCTACCAAAGATTCGTCCTGCACCGAGAGGTAAGAAAGTCGATGCATGAGGGATGGCACTCAGCACTGCCATCTACTGGCCACGTGGGGACTCCTCTAGCTGGATGCGGGTGGTTGAGAAGACAAAGGCGGTCGAGCGTGGTGCTGGCCACCACCACCACTTTCCTCGTGCGCCGTTGCGGCCTTCACAGATGCCCGCTAAACGACGCTTGCCCCAGCAGCCCGTGTGATCCATACGGGGGACCTTTGCCTCTTGTGTGCGTCGCGGCGGCGTTACCGTCCGTGTGGGCGGCGTCGTCGTCGTCGCTCTCCGCGGGCACCGCGTGCAGCGCCCAGAGCCCGTGCTCGTCCACCGCGAGGTCGATGGCCGTGAAGGGGGCGAGCTCGTACACGGGGACCCTCCCGGCTCCGCGCACGAGAACACGGCCAACCACCGCACTACGCGGGGGGAGTGGGGCGGGGGGGGGGCGAGGCAGGGGTGGGAGGGGGCCAGGGGGTGATTGGGAGGAAGGGGGCCGCACATGGGGATAGGGGCCACGGGGGGATGGAGGCTCGTGGGAGGCGTATGGACGGGGAGAAGTACGGGGATGGAGGGGCCACGTGGGGGGGGGGGGGGGGGGCAGGGAGGGACGTGAGTTATGAGCGGAGCGCCTCGTGCGCTGAAAGCTCTCACGATGACGCACGGACAGATATTTCTGACCGTGATCAAAATTATCAATACGATGCCTAACCATAGCGATCGCGCCTTACCATAACCGTGTAGTTCCATGTTTTAAGTGTATTTGTGTGACCAGGGTGGGAACTCGAGAGACCAGGACAGAGTCTCAATAGCAAGAGTGACCTGCGGCACCGAAACGAGAAATGCAATCGCAAAGAAACAACAAAAAGGAAGAAAATTGAAATCAGAGCAAAAACAACCAAATAAAAATCACAACAACAGCTAAAATGTGCAATGATGGGATGTTGCTCATCTCTATTGAGTGCTATATGCCATATTATTTAGGTCTTTCTGTAGAGTCACGTAGCACAAAACATCCAAGACATTTTTATCTACGTGACTTTATCGAAAGACCCAAAGAATATGAATTCCTGCAGTCACGAAAGCTTTAAGTCAAGGCTATATGCCAGTTGTGGAAATTCCACATTCTTCTAACGGGTGGAAGTCTGCCTGTAACTCTCACGATAATTACAGTATCTAGTCACTCCACTGCTGGATGAAGGCCTTCTCACGCCGTGTCCGTGTTCGGTGTATGTTTTCCCGTGGCTTATCGCCCTCGTTGGTGCGCGGTGGTAAAGGGAGGAAGGCCTAGGGCTGGTTGAGAAATCTCGTCCCTCGCCAGGAATCAAACTCTGATCTCGTGGTTTAGAGAGCAGTGCACTACCACTCACCACAGCCACGGTTAAACCCAGAGCTTAACTTCAGCCGGGTTTGTCCAGGATAGCAACACAGAAACTATATCGGCACCTGGCACGCCACATCCACCATTCCTCTGGCCATGGCCGTGGCTGCTCGCTGCGTGCCACCGACTCGAGTCTTCCAGCTAGCCAAAACATATTGTGCTGAGAGATCAAACACTGGTTGTGCCCCAAAATCTAACCTCAACAATATCATAAACCTCAACGCTACACACAGCATTTCAATCTCGCAGTGTGCATGTTCGCGGTTGTGCTGCTCTACAGCTCTCCGATGCGCTTTTGGGTCCTGCCGCGTGTCGTTCGGCACCGATGCCCGACGTTTGGCTCCACGTGCTGTGTGAGCTGCTTAAGGAGAGCTCAATAACGAGGTCACCGCGGGGGAACGATGCGATGGCACAACGGGAGAGCGGCACAGCGCACAGGATCCTGGCGCGTCGGTGACACAAAGCACGGCGGCGCTGGCACCTCTTGGCCAGGTCGTAGCGCAGGATCTCGTTGATGCTGCCGCGCCGGTGGTAGTAGACCGAGCCGGCGTACACGACGGCGCCCGTGCCGCGCCAACCGGACGGGAGACGCAGCAGCTTCCCGGCCGCGGTCTCCTCCTCCCCCTGCTGCCGCCGCTGCCCGGGCCGCGTGGCGGTGCCCCCCCGGTGCAGGCCCGCGAACTCCTTGGCGCTGGCGTAGGCGGTGGCGGTGTCGCCCTCGGTGCCGTCGAATAGGAAGAGGCGGTGGACGTCCACCGCGGGGTCCTTGAGCCACGCGCCGTGCGGTGAGCCCCAGCGCTTCACCGTCTTCACCGACTTGACGCTCGCCAGCGTCACGTTGCACTCTGCAAGGCCGGGGTCGACGCACTCGGTTTGTCTTCGCAGCTTGCGGCGAGCGAGCGCGTCTTAGACTGCGGCGCGCGACTGCAGATGTCGGTGATGCACAGGTGGGGTTGGTGCTCACTCACAGCACCTGCCGCACCAGTCCGTGTGGTTACACGGGGGATATTTGATCTGTGTTTGTATGTGTGTACCCATAATGTATGTGGAGACATTTGTTTGTATGGCGAGCGGTGACGCATTGGTCAGTGCACTGCACTAGAAACCCTTCTCACGACACATAAAGTGGCAAAATTTGAACCGGTCCTGGCCCTCGCCTAGGTCAACTCAGACTGAAATAAGTACCTGGTGTGGAACACACCAGCACTGGGGAAACAATGGCGACCCGGTGTGGTTCCGTTCTACACCACCCCGTTGTGGGCCATAGTAGTCTCAATAGGTGCTCGCGAACAGCACTTGGCCCTACATCCTTTATAGGCTATATGGGGAACCTTTACATTTGTATGATGTGTGTATGCGTTTAATAACTGCGGCACATTGTCCCTCCCCGGTTACTGGTTTTACAGTCGACATCAGAATGTGTTGACGCAGAGGAAAGGAAATGATGGCAAAGGGTCGTGACACCGACAGCGCCGATCGTGATGACCTCCCGACCTCGACAATAAAAGTGGCCGCCCTCCCCGGGCAAAAAAATGACACGAATGTGACGCCGTTCGAGCCGCCTGTCACTGGCGCGGAGGTGGGGGGGGGGGGGGTTTGGCGGCAAACGGTAAATAATCGAGCGCGCCCTCGCGGAGCCCTCGCGGAGCCCTGGGAGAGCGCGTCCGAGGCGCGCTTGGAGCTCGGGGGCACGCGACCACCACCCCCCCCCCCTCCCCGGGCGCTGCGCTCACCCGAGTCGCGCTTGTAGGCGAGGCGGATGCGGATGGCGGGTGACGAGGCCGTGGCGGGCTGCTTGCCCGTCGATCCTGGGCCCGACCGCGGCTTCTGGATCGCGGAGCTGTGGACGCGAAGGGAATGAGGAGCACACGTGGCGCAGCGGGAACCGCAAGTGCGTAAAGCGCAGATGCGCGAGACGGAAATCAACAATCTGGGAATCGCAGAACCGTGCCTAGACGTCTATCGACTCGGCGATGGATAATGAACACAAATAGGGCCCGATTGATTAGTAGGCAGGGACATTTTTTTTTCTTTTAAACATATTTTAAAAAAATACAAACCACAAACTATCATCAATCAAACAGGAAAAAGGAGCAGTGGATTGTCAGATTTTGTTTCCCCCACAGCAACATCTGCTGTCAGTCACGAGCTAGGTCCACAGTTGGACATCTGGGCGAGTCTCTCCTTAAGCCGTCCCCCGAATGGCCCAGATTCTGGGTGTCAATCTGACTCAATAATGCGTTGTTATTATCTCATTTTATCATCTCGTTTGTGTCGTCGCGTTTTTACTGCCTCGCGTAACGCGAGCCGACCGTTTGCGTCTTGTCGAGTGAACTGCACCACACGTTGCGTATCGCGCCTGGCGTGCGAACGATCGATTAGGGTCGATGAATCGCGCACAGAGACACCGCCAAACGCAGTCTCAAACCTCTTAGCAGCGTCTGCCGGTCCAGCGAGCGTCGTGTTTGCAAACTTTCCTTCGGCCTTGGTGGGTGAGCCAAGCTTGATGGTGAGGCCGGGCAGGGAGACGCTGCCCCCCTGCCCTTTGCCCCCCTGCCCGAGACTCTGCTGGTGCAGCCTCTGCTCTTGCCGCGGCGCCGGAGAGCTGCCGCCGCTGCCCGCCCGTGACGCCGGCTGCCCGGCGCCGTCCGGCCGAGCACGTGACCGGCAAACATCGTCGCAGTTTGTCCTCTTGTCCATTCCCTCCATCGCCTTCTCCAACTCGCTCAGCCGGGCCTGCACATCACGCAGCGTGGGTCAACTCACTCCCCTGGCCTGCACACCACGCAGCGTGGGTCAACTCACTCACCTGGCCTGCACACCACGCAGCGTGGGTCAACTCACTCACCTGGCCTGCACACCACGCAGCGTGGGTCAACTCACTCACCTGGCCTGCACACCACGCCCCGTGGGTCAACTCACTCCCCTGGCCTGCACACCACGCAGCGTGGGTCAACTCACGCACCTGGCCTGCACACCACGCAGCGTGGGTCAACTCACTCACCTGGCCTGCACACCACGCCCCGTGGGTCAACTCACTCACCTGGCCTGCACACCACGCCCCGTGGGTCAACTCGCTCACCTGGCCTGCACACCACGCCCCGTGGGTCAACTCACTCACCTGGCCTGCACACCACGCCCCGTGGGTCAACTCACTTACCTGGCCTGCAAACCACGCAGCGTGGGTCAACTCACTCACCTGGCCTGCACACCACGCAGCGTGGGTCAACTCACTCACCTGGCCTGCACACCACGCCCCGTGGGTCAACTCACTCCCCTGGCCTGCACACCACGCAGCGTGGGTCAACTCACGCACCTGGCCTGCACACCACGCAGCGTGGGTCAACTCACTCACCTGGCCTGCACACCACGCCCCGTGGGTCAACTCACTCACCTAGCCTGCACACCACGCCCCGTGGGTCAACTCGCTCACCTGGCCTGCACACCACGCCCCGTGGGTCAACTCACTCACCTGGCCTGCACACCACGCCCCGTGGGTCAACTCACTTACCTGGCCTGCACACCACGCAGCGTGGGTCAACTCACTCACCTGGCCTGCACACCACGCAGCGTGGGTCTACTCACTCACCTGGCCTGTACACCACGCCCCGTGGGTCAACTCACTCACCTGGCCTGCACACCACGCCCCGTGGGTCAACTCACTTACCTGGCCTGCACACCACGCAGCGTGGGTCAACTCACTCCCCTGGCCTGCACACCACGCAGCGTGGGTCAACTCACTCCCCTGGCCTGCACACCACGCCCCGTGGGTCAACTCACTCCCCTGGCCTGCACACCACGCAGCGTGGGTCAACTCACTCCCCTGGCCTGCACACCACGCAGCGTGGGTCAACTCACTCACCTGGCCTGCAAACCACGCAGCGTGGGTCAACTCACTCACTTGGCCTGCACACCACGCAGCGTGGGTCAACTCACTCACCTGGCCTGCACACCACGCCCCGTGGGTCAACTCACTCCCCTGGCCTGCACACCACGCAGCGTGGGTCAACTCACGCACCTGGCCTGCACACCACGCAGCGTGGGTCAACTCACTCACCTGGCCTGCACACCACGCCCCGTGGGTCAACTCACTCACCTAGCCTGCACACCACGCCCCGTGGGTCAACTCGCTCACCTGGCCTGCACACCACGCCCCGTGGGTCAACTCACTCACCTGGCCTGCACACCACGCCCCGTGGGTCAACTCACTTACCTGGCCTGCACACCACGCAGCGTGGGTCAACTCACTCACCTGGCCTGCACACCACGCAGCGTGGGTCTACTCACTCACCTGGCCTGTACACCACGCCCCGTGGGTCAACTCACTCACCTGGCCTGCACACCACGCCCCGTGGGTCAACTCACTTACCTGGCCTGCACACCACGCAGCGTGGGTCAACTCACTCCCCTGGCCTGCACACCACGCAGCGTGGGTCAACTCACTCCCCTGGCCTGCACACCACGCCCCGTGGGTCAACTCACTCCCCTGGCCTGTACACCACGCCCCGTGGGTCAACTCACTCACCTGGCCTGCACACCACGCCCCGTGGGTCAACTCACTTACCTGGCCTGCACACCACGCAGCGTGGGTCAACTCACTCCCCTGGCCTGCACACCACGCAGCGTGGGTCAACTCACTCCCCTGGCCTGCACACCACGCAGCGTGGGTCAACTCACTCACCTGGCCTGCAAACCACGCAGCGTGGGTCAACTCACTCACTTGGCCTGCACACCACGCAGCGTGGGTCAACTCACTCACCTGGCCTGCAAACCACGCAGCGTGGGTCAACTCACTCACTTGGCCTGCACACCACGCCCCGTGGGTCAACTCGCTCACCTGGCCTGCAAACCACGCAGCGTGGGTCTACTCACTCCCCTGGCCTGCACACCACGCCCCGTGGGTCTACTCACTCCCCTGGCCTGCACACCACGCCCCGTGGGTCTACTCACTCCCCTGGCCTGCACACCACGCCCCGTGGGTTGTTGCGTTAATTCGCGACTCTTCTTGGTGATTACTTTGCTGTTTACCTTCTGCTTGATTCCCTTTAATGTGGAATGTTCACGTGTGGCCACAGTGCTGGACAACGACCCTAACATATGATGTTGAGCGTTTACTTATGCGCAGGGCTTACTAATGATTTTTTATCACTAAATATGTGTTGGGTCACTGGTAGACTGCAGGAGGTGGCACGTGACTCGTCGTCACCACAGCCATCGCGGACACTATACTGGATGTGGTGTGCCGGCTGTGGTCGCCAACGTGGACAGACTCGGCTCAAATGAGGAAGTCACTCAGCAGGCCTCTTCATCCACACTCGGGACACATCCTCTCTGTGCTCTGCAAAAAGTAATTACCGCATATCAATCAATTCCAAGATGCTCCACTCGCATAACTCAAATCGCCTACACGAAGCTGCACGCGAATTCTAAAAAAACATTTCGTGCAGTCGTTGGGTCACCGGCATGAGACCATCCACTCGCCGCACTCGAGGACCCGGATTGACCACGGGCGGCTGAAACCTGCATTGAGTGCTGGCGGTTCGGTGAGTTGGGACACGTCCGTTGGGAACCACCTGAGCCACCCAGCCACCTCATCTGTTATCCTCTCGCGGTGACAGCTCTCAGCGAACCATCTGTGCTCTCCAAGCCCGATGTGCATCCACGCAAAAAGTTGCCGTGCGGCAGTCGACGGCGCGGCTGACGCAGCTGACGAGCAGCCGCGCCGTGGGGTTCTGGGTGTCCGTGTCAGCGAGCCCGCCCGTCGTGTTCCCCACGGCGGCCTCCGCATCTCTCTTCCCGCGTGCCGCCGATATCGTTTGAAACGGGAGCGGCCTGCGGGTGTCCCGCTCGCGTGTGTCACCTTTGACACGAAACGCGGATGCAGATTGAGCGCCGAGGCACTGGCTGGCGGAGGCACGCGTTCGGCGTTCATTAACCCACCTGCGCCTCCTCCATCTGTCACGTGTGGTTGCCTACCACGTGTTGTTACCTGTCACGTGTGGTTGCCTGCCACGTGTGGTTGCCTGCCGCGTGTGGTTACCTGCCACGTGTTGTTGCCTGCCACGTGTGGTTACCTGCCGCGTGTGGTTACTTGCCGCGTGTGGTTACTTGCCACGTGTGGTTACCTGCCACGTGGTGTTGCCTGCCACGTGTGGTTACCTGCCACGTGTTGTTGCCTGCCACGTGTGGTTACCTGCCGCGTGTGGTTACCTGCCACGTGTGGTTACCTGCCACGTGTTGTTGCCTGCCACGTGTGGTTACCTTCCACGTGTTGTTGCCTGCCACGTGTGGTTACCTGCATGCCGTCCCACCAGTGGTTGCCGTGCTGGGCCTCGTGGGACATCGTCTCGAGGCGAGACAGAATCTCCACCTCGAAGTCGCGGTACTGCCGCACCACCGTATCCACATCCTGGTAGACCTTGTCCATTCGGTCCTACGCGACACACGGGGACAGAGTGAACACCCCGACAAACGGGACAGGGTGAACACCCCGACACACGGGGGCAGGGTGACATTGAGGCCCACGTGCTCATTACCACAGCCACTCATCGTGGCCATCAGCATGAGACGTGAGAGGGGACATCCTTTGTGGCGATGGCTTTGGCTGCCGCTCCGTCGTCGCGAGACTCGATCACCACCGGTCACCACCCGGGCGACGCGTCCTGCCCAAGTCCCATTTTTCTTAACGATCAATGCGACTTCGACTCCAACTCGCGGACGTCGTCTAATCCACGTGCCCCTCTTCCTGCCCCTCGGTGCAACTCCCCGCGTGAACATCTCCACGATTCTCTGTGCACCATTTAGTATTTTGTTCCGTATGTTGTCAAGGCCCAATGGATCCGCCCCACGTGGCATCGCAGCCAACATCGATCTCCAACTCGAAGGAGCATTGTGGCGGTGCTCATCTCCCGTTCGTAGCCCTGAGCCGGTGGCGGCAATTCCAGATTCCCTTGGTGGAGGGTGTCGATTCCAGGAGATAGGACAACCAATTCGGAGTTCCCCACGCGGTGGAATGATGACCCGTGGCGTGATTCGAGAGGAAGCAATGATCTCTGCACCGAAGGGAGCTCAGGTTTATATATATATATATATAATATAAATATATAAACCACAGTATTTCATTTCGAAGCGGGGTTATTCTGGGGCACGGAAAAATAAAATCTCTTCCTTGCCAGAGCCCCCCCCCCCCCCCCCCAGGGCCCCCCACCCCCAGATTTTCAGCACCAAGGTCGGCGGCCGCAGCCAATGGGACGGAATCCGCGTCGCCCGGGCGACTGCGAGGCGTTCAATTATTCACATTGGCCGCTCGCGCATGCGGCGGCGGCCCCTCGACCTAACCCAGGGGGGGGGGGGGCGCGAGGGAGGGGTGGGGGGCAGTGGGGATACCGCCCCCCCCCCCGCGCGCTCCCCCCGCCACCAGCACCGAGCCACTATCCCCCCCGCCCTTCCGTCCTCCGCGGCCCGCATCAGTGGCGCACCCAGAGGTAAACATTCACGATGGCTCCTTGCCCCGCATCTCCGATTAGCACGGTTGGCTACGTACGGTGCTAAAGAACTTCAACGTACACACAATCAAGAGACAGCGATTTCTGAATCAAATGAGCATTCAGGCAGCGGTGCTCACCTCCTGTTTACGGACCTGAGGCAGTGGTGGAAATTCCACGTTCCTGTGGTAGCGGGTGAGTTTATCCATAGGACAACCACTGTTGACTTTCCCACAGAATGATACCCATTGTATCGACCCCGGCGGGATGATGGGCTGTTTAACGATGCCAGAGGTGAGATGACCGGGTGCAACGGATTATTTTGCCCCCAACGCTGCGTGCACCTCTGGTCCTCACAGCTCCCTCCCACGTGTACGAGTGTGCGCACGTGCGCGTGCGTGCATGTGTGCGCGTGCGTGCGCGTGTCTACGTGCTTGCGAGTGTGCGCACGTGCGCGTACGTGCATGTGTGCGCGTGCGTGCGCGTGCGTGCGCGTGTCTACGTGCCTGCGAGTGTGCGCACGTGCGCGTGCGAGCGCGTGCGCGTGTGACTCGCCTACTGAGCAAGGAGGCTGTGCAGCCAATGGAGACCGGCCCACTCGACGCCCAAACCAAAACCCATCCCCCCCCCGTGGATTCAATTCAGCGCCGCAGCATCAATTCACCCGACGGAGCGGTGGCGCAGTGGTTAGCGCACCGCGCTATGAACCTGGTAGGTTACGTTTCTGGCCACGGCTGATCAGTGGCGTGTGATATTTGAACCTGTCCTGAGCATGCCCACTTAACCAACTCGTCGTGTGCTGATCGGGATGGTGAAGTATGGTCAAACACCCCACCACTGACACGAATTGCAGAAGCCTTCATTCAGTCGTGGAATTACAAAAGGCTGTGCATTCCAGTACTTAGAGATACCCTCTACATACAGATATATATGAGCATACACTAAATATAGACCACTAAATATAGAATCCCTATCGCTTATATCCAAATTATTTGCCGGATGTCGATGGCTGTCGAAGTTAAGCAGGCGCAAGCCTGGTCAGTGATGGGGACAGTCGCGTCTTCGCCAACATTCTCCAGCGAGCGAACTGGGCGTGACACGATCATCATCATCAGCAGCAGCCACGATGGATGAAGAATGCCTCCCCAGGCCGCCACCATCTCCTCGCCACCCCGTGATGTAAGAAGCCACCCGCTCCGTCTCCTGCGCGAGTGTCGCCTCGCTGCGACTCCGTCATTATTCTCGACCTCTGCTATCGGGTCCGAGCGTGCACGCGGATAATTAAACCACATTGACCAGAGAGAGAGAGAAGGCACCGCCGTCTAAACGAACGCGCCTATTGCGTAGCCACAGGTTCGGTAAATAATGAAATCGCCCCGCTACTGTGTTCTGACATTAACAATGGTCACGGATTCAACTGCACCGCCCACACAGTTCCTGGAAACGGAGTAAACAAAGAACGAACCGGCGCACTTCATGAACAGGTCACGTGGCTCAGCGGCAGGGCGAATGTCGCGAGTTCAAATGCTGACTTGGGGTTGACTCAGCCCATCATAGAGTGAGTAGGAGGCTGTGGGGGGAAGTCAACAGTGGTTGACCTACACAGACACTCGCTCCCGCGATAGGAGGGAGGAGTTTCCACCACTGGCTCTGGGCTGTAAACATGAAACGAGCACCGCGCCAATGCTCATTCGAGCAGTAAATCACTTTGACTTCATGAACTCAGGAAAGCCTCTCTGAGTCTCAAGACTCCTTGTTCAAGAGGGTCCCTGCACAAGCACGGCCTAGCCCGGTGTCTCCCGGACGCCGCCCCAAGCACCCCCCCCCCCACACGAGCCAGGACCCGACTCTGAGCCACGGCTCGGCTGAGGCCGGGTTCTGGCTCAAGTGAGTCATGACTCAGAGCCACGCTTAACTTGATTCAGGTGGCGAGATGTTAACTACATCGCTTGGTATACAAGAGGTCGCGGATTTGATCCTGACCCTGACGCCTGTATATTTTGGAGTTTGCGTGTCTCTCCCCCTGCGGTCGCGTGGATGTTTCTCCGAGTCCTCCGATTTTCCCCTCCACATTTAGAAACACGCGTTTAAAGCATTTGGCGGCTATACATGTCCACATGATGGGCCACTTCGTTTAGAGATCATTTGTGATAACCAGGTCGCTACTGAAAAAGAGCCGTATAGCTCAGTGGGCCTTACCTGGTAAAATAAACATAGTTTGTTAGTAATCAATATTGTTCCGGCGCTGTCAGCATTGTTCCAACCGTTGCTCAGAGTTTCCATGAGCCGAGTCTGAGCCGAGCCACTCAGTCGCGCGTCCTTAGAAACAGCTGAGCGGCTCGATACTGAGCCGAGTCGTGGGCTAAGAATACGGCCCTCAGGATCGTGCCACTCGGCTCAGGAATCGACGATTCCCCTCGAATGTCCGAATCCTAGCGACTCGAGTGGCTGCAGAGGCGGCGCCACGAACCAGCCCGTGTCTAAGTCTTAAGATGCTGTTGTGTCCCCAGGTTGCGAAATCAAAGAGACAGGGATGGAGTAAGAGGGGGCCTGGGCCACCAACATGACGAAGGCTAAACAAGTCAAGCACAGCAGCGAAACAATTAAGAATCGTAGGCAGAACAACTGCGTCGCGCGACAAACGGAGAATGCCGAGCGGACATAGTCGATGTTAAATAGTGGGACACGCGCTCCTGCAGCCGTAAGGCGTCTATTGCTGAGACCGATCGGTTGTAATAACATTTACAATAAAGTTACAGAAACACAAAATCAGATATACAAGAGGATGGTGGCTATCGCGCCGAAGTGTAAAGGAGACGCGGATTCGCGAGTCGAATGCCATCGCCGGTGACGGTTGCGAGCGGGACCCGGGCCACGCGCAGCGAACCTCGAGGGTGGCGAGTCGCTGCTCGGTGTGGTCCGCCACCAGGAGGTCGTGGCGCGCGTCCCCTCTGCGGCGGGCCGAGACCGCGGGCCCCACGGCGGCCCAGGCGGCGGCCGCCAGCATCGCGGACAGCGCGATCGTCATCACTGCAGGGCGACTACGACGGCGATGGGACGGTGATGATGTGATGATGGTGATTGTCAGCAACGCAATTAGAACGCACGGGGCGACTCGGCCCGCGAGTTGGCTGGGTGCTGGTGGTGGTGGGGGTCACACGAGGCAAGCGGCAGCGTCTGTCCCGCGGGCCCCTGCAAGCTCCATGATGCGATTGGATTGGGGGGTGCGGGGGGGGGTAGTAGTGGAGTGGGGGCGCGAATAAGGGGGACGGGGTGGAGAGGGGCTGCCAGACGTCGTCGCTCCTCGTTCTTGTCGCGGCGTCCTGTGCCACCGTCCGCTGGAGAAGCTCCGAACTTTAAACAAAGCGGGAGGGGGGGGGGGGCGCCGTGGGGAGGGCGGCTTCTCCATCGTCTGGCGGCAGATATCAGCCGGCGATGATGTCTGCTTGCGATTAAGGATGCCTGTGGCTTGGCAGAGAGTGCTGGGCTTGGAAGGAGATGTGTGGAAAGCATGGGGCGTGGGGGAGGAGAGAGAGAGACAGGGAGGAGGGCGATGGATGAGGTGAAGGACGGGGCCGTCTCAAGGATCCAAGTGACATTGTCTCACTGCTCAACTCATCGCTGTTGGTGGTCCAGACTCATGGGTGGCAATGTCACGTACGGGTGAAGAATGGTCAACAAACTCCCCGTCGCCACGCGCACCGCGTGGGGAACTCCTCATCTGCAGTGGAGAGACAAAAGGGACTGGACTGTACACAGAGCCGTCCCGAGAGTATGGCGAATTGGGGCGAGCGCCCCGGGCCCTGTGTTTCGGGGGGCCGCGCGCTTCGATGTAATACTTCAAGTTGAGTCTGAAGTCGGGGGGGGGGGGGGGGGGGGGGGGCACGGTGGGACTTGCCCCGGGCCCCGCAGCCCCTAGGGGCGGACATGGCTGTACAGGACGAGGCACCTCCAGAGAAAATTCAGTTTTTTGGCTTTTTACAAAGTTGGAGTGACTTTACCGACTCGAGAGTGGTGATGGGCTGAGTCTTGGGAGTATACAATTTTGCTAATGCTCAATTCAACGAGTGATCTTGAATAGTGTCCCGTTGACAACAATGACAATCTCATAGCATAAAACACCGAGCAGAACTAGAAGCCTTCACGACCAACGTCACTCGCCGATGTCCGCTAAACGGAAGCCTCTTCACGGTTGCCACCTCCTGGTCCACACACCTTGGCGATTCGACTCAAGACCCAACGTGTCTTGCGTATTTGTCTTGTTTCGTCTTGTTTCTACAAATATTGCCCGCTACACCCCCCTGTACGTACACACACTGCATGCGTGTGTTCGACTTATTACGATTAAGAGGCGCAATTTGATTGAAGCATTATACATTTTATTATCTCCGTGTTTCTCATCTCGTTTGTATTATCATTTCTACTGCCTTAGCTGTTCTGGCTGCTTCATTTCATTCCAGCCCAGATGCATCATAAGCAGCATTATCATCTCCATACAACGCACCTTCATTGTGCATCCCCCATACAAAGAGAAAGACCCCCCGTGTAGCCTCAACAGACTTTTGGGGCAAGTGCTGTTAGCGAGTAGCACCTAAGGCCGCTACGGCATCACAAGGGGGTGCGGACAGCACTACGCCTGGCCGCCTTTGTATCCTCATTGGTGATGTTGACACCCCGCACGAGGTACTCATTTGAGGCCGAGTCAACCTAGTAGAAACTCAGGACCGGTTCAGAGAATCATCACCAGCGTTGGCCGTGAACGGGAATTTAACTTGGGTCGCCAGGTTTGTAGCGCAACGCGCTGCCCGCTGTCCCCGATGTTCACGCACAGGTCAGTGCATGCCTTAGCACTTACAACGGAATCGACGAAAAAAGTCGCATGCTGCATCAGAGATGCACCCCCTCGTTCGTCTGCATCGTTCGCGGCGTCGAGGGCCGACGTTCACATCACGTTGGCCCCGGGGAGAAGGGCCCCGTGCTCACCGTTGCTCACTCATCAAGGCATTCGGCCGGTGATTTGTTGATGTTGGTTGTGCTTTCTGCAGTGGCAGGGGACGCCGCGAGCTTCTAGAAGACGCTGCTGCTGCTGCTCTTGTTCTTGTTGCGATCCACGCAGCGTCGTCTCCTTGGCTTCGTCGACTAGAACGCGTTCCAACACCGCTGCCTTTCCCTGCTGCCGAACAACAGAATGCAAAGACGACGAATCGACAAATCGACGCGTCGTCATTATCGAGGCCGCTCGATAAATAACTCCACGCTATAAAAACCCGGCCCTGAATGCAGACATGGGGGGTGGCGGCGTGGCCCAACGAGCCAAGCGGGGAATATTCCAGCATTGTGGGAGCGAGCGAGCGTCCTCGGGCGAGGCGGGGACGATGTCTTGGTGGGGGGGGGGGGATAACGGACGGTGGAAGATTGTGTTTCTTTGTAAGGGACACATTCTAACGTGATATTTACTGAAGAGAGTGCTTCGGATTGTGTCTGTTCAGAGAGAGCCACATGCTGAAGGCCACGTGCTTTTCGTTAAACATGGGTATTGTCGTGCGGGGGCACGTGTTCAGACACGCGAGCTGTCTGATAGCCGGCGGGATCACGCGGAGACGGTGGACGTTCTTACGGCTGTGTTGGGAATCGTGGCCTGTGGCTCACACGCCCGCACGCTGGCCCAGTTTCTGCGTCTCTTTGGCGAGATTTGACAAAAACTGAGTGAGGGCGGAGTGGTTGGTGCACTGCGCCATAAACCCGGTGACCCGAGTTCAATTTCGACCCGCCCACGGCTAACATCAGTGGCGAGTGATATCTGAACCAGACCTGGTTCCCTCCTCTTCACCAACCCGTACTGACAAGCCACGGTGAAGCACAGGCAAACAGCCCCCATGACCGACAGAACGTGGGGGAGGCCATCATCCAGCAGTGCATTGATACACGACTGTAAATTATAATAATACTTATTACTTCGATTTGAAGCTTTCGTGACTGCAGGAATCCATACTCTTTGGTTCTTTCGGCAAAGTCACGTAGGCAGAAAAATAAAATAATATAATATAAAAAAAAAAATGTTTCTACCTACGTGACTTTACCGAAAGAACCAAAGAGTAATACTTATTATGTTCCAACTGTGCTCCGAGCGTAAAGTCAAAAGACAAAGACATTTGTACTTGGACCCTCACAGCGAGCGGCGTGACATCGCCTCGTGTCACCGCGACCACGTTGGATGCCACCGCGACCACTGCTTGTGGTCCCTTGAGATTGCTCCGAGCCGCGCCGCGTGTCTCGCCTCCCTTCGAGGCCTGTCACGCGGGTGCCGGTCACAATGTTGAGCTGCAATTGGGCCAGATTCAGAGACAATCCACGCCTAATGAGGACGGGTCTTGCGTGCCGTCGCTGGCGACCTAGCCGAGTCGTCAACTCGCTACGCTCGATCGTGCTCTGTTACATCGCGATCAGCGACTGCGACGGGGATTCAGTCCCAACGGCGCCGACTCCGGGTCTCTGACATGGCCATTATAGACACCCGGAGAACGCCCGCCACACACACACACGCCAACCCATGTTTGAAGGTTGCACATGACGCAACACGCCTTCTGCGGAGTGCATCTTACAATCCGGTATGTGCGTGTGTGACTATGTTCGGGGAGCGGTGGAGCAGTGGTTGGCGCATCGCGCTACGAACCCGGCGGCCCGAGTTCGATTCCCGCTCACGGCCAACGCCGGTGACAATTATCTGAACTGGTCCTGGGCCTCTCCCTAGGTCGACTCGGTCTCAAATGGTGCGGTGTGGTGTGAAAACATTGCCACTAGGGAGACAAAGGCGGTCGGGAGTGGTTCTGGCCACCCACCTCCCTCGTGTGACGTGCCAGCCTTCATAGGTGTTCGCTAACAGCACTTGCCCCGACAATCTAAGGCTATAGGGGCGACATTTCCTTTTGTCGTTTGACCATATTGTTATGACTTTGCTCACATGGACCACAGTTCTGGGTGGGGTGAGACTTACTTTTAGAAGTGTCTGGAGAATGCGGTAAGATCCGCACGCACATCAGACAGACTTTTTTTGCGGGCACTTTGAAGAATCTCCACCGCGCCGCATTGCTCACTGGGCGGACGGACGCAGCTTCCTCGGCAGAGGCAGTCGGCGCGAAACCACGAGGCCACGGCAGTAGCCACATCCTCCACGTACCCCCGCCCCCTCCTAACACCCCCCCCCCCCGCACGCGCCCGCCGGGAGGATGGAGATTCGTTGCGATTTGTATTCCGGCCGCGGTAGTGCCCGCCGACACGAGGAACCTCGCTGGTAATCGTGGCCAGCAAATGGCGAGAGCGTAGCGGGTCTTCCTTAGCCTCCTCCATCTATTCACCGGCGTACGTGAATCACGCGCAGCCTGCATCGCAACCCCAACCGCCCCCTCCCGCGTCCCCCCCCCCCCCCCCCGCGGCCCCCTCGAAGCCGGACTCGGCGCACAAGGTCACAAGGTCACAAGGTCACAAGGTCACGGGCAACTGGCGGAGCACGTGGCAGGCCGGCGTGACCGGTGGACCCGTAACCTGGGACGCGTCGGGTTAACCACGTGGTTCGCGAGTGGCAACACCTCTTGAACTCTCTCGTTTCCAGACATACATATTCAAAATAAATAAATAAATAACTAAATATATGGCTTTTTTTACAAAATTTTAATCTAACAAGATGTTGTATTCACCCCCCCCCCCGCTTCACTGCTACTACCCTCCAAAAATGTGTTCACCCTACCACCTATAGTGGCAAGAGGGCCATGAGAATCGGGAACTGGCGATTCGTAGACATGGAGATGGATAGTAGATGGGGCAGTACGGAAAGTGGGTTGCTGACAATGTTATCCATTTCAAGTTGACATTCTCTTGTGTGTGCGCTGTGTTTCTTACGGTATAGTGTATTTCGTCTCAAACACAACACACACACACAGAGACTCTCGTGAGCTCTGTCACCGAGACTCATTGAAGCCCTGCTGGGCGAGCCGCGTGGCGATTCTCATTCTCGCCGTCACGTTCCAGCGGCTCGCGCCACGGAGTCGCCCTTCCAGAGGGCCAGTTCTGCTCAGCAGCAGTCAGAAACAACCCCACACAACACCGTCCCATTGACAGGCAGCTGATGCACGTCGACTAGGTTTAATTTTCTGCATTATAAATAGAAATGGCTTCAAATTTCGAAACGAGTGAAATGTAACTAACCCTCGGCGCTTA